GTCGTCACGAATGTGGTGGAGGATAAACGGTGAAGGAGAAAGTGGCGACGGATGTAAGTCCCCCGCTGTGGGGCTAGAGCATCGCTTTGCCGTTTCTAACGTTTCGGTTTCCTCTATAGTACTAGGTCCTCGTGACGAAGGAGCATATTCGTGCATATCTTTTCGAGCTGTTGGCATAATCGAGTTTTCCGATTTTTTTCCACCATCTCCACATATATAGAGGAGTCGTTGCACCGTGTTGTAACAACATGGTGCGTAACAACAAGCGAGCAGAACATATACCGCAACAGTTGCGGTATGTGCTCTGCTCGCTTCGCTCGCTCTGCAATTTCTTGTAACATAATATTCCAGTGAAACTGTGTCAGGTCCTCGCCCCAGCCCCAGCAGTCTCGTCCGACTACTAACGAAGAAGTAATCATTTTCAGCCTGAAAATGATTACTCTGTGATTCATCAGATCAATCAAATTCATCAAATTACTCTCGATCAAATCAGCATATAATTTGAGTTCTGATAGTAGTAGTTGTAGTAGTAGTAACTATATCTAACAAATATTTGTTAGGCATGCCTGACAGACAACTACGCGCTAGTGCTGCAGCATTCTATATCACCAACAGCTTCTGTCAAATCCCACGGTCCTGGAAAATGATAAGTTCTGACGAAGGTCTCCGCGAAGGGGCGGTTCGATGGCTATTCGTTGATCGATCCAAGGAGGCCGTTCCCGCGGACTTACGAGACTTCATCAACAATGCTGGCAATACGTCAGTTAAAAACTACTGCTGCAGCCAATACAGTTCCTTGGATGAAGCAGCCGCGATGAATAGATCATACAGTATGATTCATACTCAATTGTGAGCTATAGTCAGTCGGCCGACTTGAATATCCTGCCTCCACAAGGCCCATGGTGTACCTGCGCACAATGGGCGGCAGATACTATTTGCCCACATGTAGTGTGCATTGCCTACAGCATGGGACTGGACTCCACTCCTCAAGCTTTGAGAGACTGGGCTACAGTTACGACTTTCTTCAACCCGCCCCGACAGAAGCGTGATGGTGGTGGACTGATACAAGAACCAAGTATACCCACCACGGCTAGATATGGAATAGAAAGGACTACTCATAACAAACGAAGGAGAGTCAACGAAGAATTGCTGGCAAAAGCTCCCAATGATTCCCAAAATCTTGTAAGCTCCCCTGATATTCAACAGGATGAACGAGCAGACGCTCTCCCGGAGGATGCCAATATACCGAGGGTCCCTGAAGAGCAAGACTACACCAATATTACGTGGCCAACTCACCCCCCTGCAGAAGATAATTCGCAGTACTGTGGTTGTAAACGTGGGCACGTCTCCAGCATAGTCATGATCAAGTGCAGTAATAGAAGCTGTCCGCATGAGTGGTGGCATATTGACTGTGCAATGCACTATGCAGCAGCCTCTGGAGTTGAATCGGGTCATATAGC